CCGCACCCTCTGTGTGCCCACTGCTTGGCCACTGCCTGCCCCTTACGTGGCCACTGCTTGCCCACTGTTTGCCCACTGCGTGGCCACTGCTTGCCGGCTGCATGGCCATTGTGCGGCCCATGGGTGCCCACTGCTTGCCCATAGTGTACCCCTTATTTGGCCACTGCTTGCCCACTGCTTGGCCACTGCTTGGCTATTGCTTGCCTGCTGCATGGCCACTGCTTGCCCTATGCATGCCCACTGTTTGCCCGCTCTTTGCCCACTGCTTGCCTGTAGCGTGCCCCTTCTGTGCCCCCTCTTTGGCTATTGCACGCCCCCACTGCTTGCCTATAGTGTACCCCTTATTTGCCCACTGCTTACCCACTGCTTGGCCACTAAGTGCCCCTTACATGGCCACTGCTTGCCCGCTGCGTGGCCATTGCTTGCCTGCTGCATGGCCACTGCTTGCCCATTCTTTGCCCACTGCTTGCCTGTCGCGTGCCCCTTCTGTGCCCCCTCTTTGGCTATTGCAAACCCCCACTGCTTGCCCATAGTGTACCCCTTATTTGGCCACTGCTTGCCCGCTGCTTGGCTATTGCTTGCCTACTGTGTGGCCACTGCTTGCCCTGTGTATGCCCACTGCTTGCCAGTTCTTTGCCCACTGCTTGGCCATAGCGTGCCCCTTCTGTGCCCCCTCTTTGGCTATCGCACGCCCCCACTGCTTGCCCATCGTGTACCCCTTATTTGCCCACTGCTTGCCCACTGCTTGGCCACTAAGTGCCCCTTACATGGCCACTGCTTGCCTACTGCTTGTCTATTGCTTGCCCGCTGCGTGGCTACTGCTTACCCGCTCTTTGCCCGCTGCTTGGCTGTAGCATGCCCCTTCTGTGCCCCCTCTTTGGCTATCGCACGCCTCCACTGCTTGCCCATCATGTACCCCTTATTTGGCCACTGCTTGCCCACTGCTTGGCTATTGCGCCACAGTGTGCCCCTTCTGTGCCCCCTCTTTGGCTATTGCACGCCCCCACTGCTTGCCTATAGTGTACCCCTTATTTGCCCACTGCTTGCCCACTGCTTGGCCACTAAGTGCCCCTTACATGGCCACTGCTTGCCCGCTGCGTGGCCATTGCTTGCCTGCTGCATGGCCACTGCTTGCCCATTCTTTGCCCACTGCTTGCCTGTCGCGTGCCCCTTCTGTGCCCCCTCTTTGGCTATTGCAAACCCCCACTGCTTGCCCATAGTGTACCCCTTATTTGGCCACTGCTTGCCCGCTGCTTGGCTATTGCTTGCCTACTGTGTGGCCACTGCTTGCCCTGTGTATGCCCACTGCTTGCCAGTTCTTTGCCCACTGCTTGGCCATAGCGTGCCCCTTCTGTGCCCCCTCTTTGGCTATCGCACGCCCCCACTGCTTGCCCATAGTGTACCCCTTATTTGCCCGCTGCTTGCCCACTAAGTGCCCCTTACATGGCCACTGCTTGCCCGCTGCTTGGCTATTGCTTGCCCCCTGCGTGGCCACTGCTTGCCCCGTGTATGCCCGCTGCTTGCCTGTAGCGTGCCCCTTCTGTGCCCCCTCTTTGGCTATTGCAAACCCCCACTGCTTGCCCATAGTGTACCCCTTATTTGCCCACTGCTTACCTACTGCTTGGCTACTAAGTGCCCCTTACATGGCCACTGCTTGCCCGCTGCGTGGCCATTGCTTGCCTGCTGCATGGCCACTGCTTGCCCATTCTTTGCCCACTGCTTGCCTGTCGCGTGCCCCTTCTGTGCCCCCTCTTTGGCTATTGCAAACCCCCACTGCTTGCCCATAGTGTACCCCTTATTTGGCCACTGCTTGCCCACTGCTTGGCTATTGCATGCCCCCTGTGTACCCACTGCTTCCCACTCCTTGGCCATGGTGTAGCCCTTATTTGGCCACTGCTTGCCCTGTGTATGCCCACTGCTTGCCCGCTGCTTGCCCACTGTTTGCCCTCTGCTTGGCTGTTACATGCCCCTTTTGTGCCCACTGCTTGCCCGCTGCTTGGCTATTGCTTGCCCCCTGCGTGGCCACTGCTTGCCCCGTGTATGCCCGCTGCTTGCCTGTAGCGTGCCCCTTCTGTGCCCCCTCTTTGGCTATTGCAAACCCCCACTGCTTGCCCATAGTGTACCCCTTATTTGCCCACTGCTTACCTACTGCTTGGCTACTAAGTGCCCCTTACATGGCCACTGCTTGCCCGCTGCGTGGCCATTGCTTGCCTGCTGCATGGCCACTGCTTGCCCATTCTTTGCCCACTGCTTGCCTGTCGCGTGCCCCTTCTGTGCCCCCTCTTTGGCTATTGCAAACCCCCACTGCTTGCCCATAGTGTACCCCTTATTTGGCCACTGCTTGCCCGCTGCTTGGCTATTGCTTGCCTACTGTGTGGCCACTGCTTGCCCTGTGTATGCCCACTGCTTGCCAGTTCTTTGCCCACTGCTTGGCCATAGCGTGCCCCTTCTGTGCCCCCTCTTTGGCTATCGCACGCCCCCACTGCTTGCCCATCGTGTACCCCTTATTTGCCCACTGCTTGCCCACTGCTTGGCCACTAAGTGCCCCTTACATGGCCACTGCTTGCCTACTGCTTGTCTATTGCTTGCCCGCTGCGTGGCTACTGCTTACCCGCTCTTTGCCCGCTGCTTGGCTGTAGCATGCCCCTTCTGTGCCCCCTCTTTGGCTATCGCACGCCTCCACTGCTTGCCCATCATGTACCCCTTATTTGGCCACTGCTTGCCCACTGCTTGGCTATTGCATGCCCCCTGTGTACCCACTGCTTCCCACTCCTTGGCCATGGTGTAGCCCTTATTTGGCCACTGCTTGCCCTGTGTATGCCCACTGCTTGCCCGCTGCTTGCCCACTGTTTGCCCTCTGCTTGGCTGTTACATGCCCCTTTTGTGCCCACTGCTTGCCCACTGTGTGCCCCTTTTGTGCCCACTGCTTGGCCACAGCATAGCCCTTATTTGGCCACTGCTTGCCCTGTTTATGACCAGTGCTTGCCCTGTGTATGCCCACTGCTTGCCCTGTATATGCCCACTGCTTGCCCTCTACTTGGCTGTTACATGCCCCTTTTGTGCCCACTGCATGGCCACTGCTTGCCCACTGTGTGCCCCTTTTGTGCCCGCTCCTTGGCCATGGTGTAGCCCTTATTTGGCCACTGCTTGCTCACCACTTGGCTGTTTTGTGCCCACTACTTGCCCACTCCTTGGCTGTAGTGTACCCCTTACACGGGGCAAGCAGTGGCCAAATATGTCCACTACTTGCCCACTCCTTGGCGATAGTGTAGCCCTTATTTGGCCACTGCTTGCCCTGTGTATGCCCACTGCTTGCCCGCTGTTTGCCTTCTGCTTGGCTGTTACATGCCCCTTTTGTGCCCACTGCATGGCCACTGCTTGCCCACCACTTGGCTGTTTTGTGCCCACTACTTGCCCACTCCTTGGCCGTGGTGTAGCCCTTATTTGGCCACTGCTTGCCCACTGTTTGCCCACCACTTGGCTGTTACATGCCCCTTTTGTGCCCACTCCTTGGCCACAGTGTAGCCCTTATTTGGCCACTGCTTGCCCTGTGTATGCCCACTGCCTGCCTGCTGCTTGACCATAGTGTGCTCCTTCGGTGGCTACTGCTTGCCCACTGTGGCATGCCCGCTGTGTGCCCACTGCTTGCCCACTCCTTAGCTGTAGTGTACCCCTTACACAGGGCAAGCAGTGGCCAAATATGCCCAGTACTTGCCCACTCCTTGGCCATAGTGTAGCCCTTATTTGGCCACTGCATGCCCGCTGCTTGCCCTCTGCTTGGCTGTTACAGGCCCCTTTTGTGCCCACTGCATGGCCACTGCTTGCCCACTGTGTGCCCCTTTTGTGCCCACTGCTTGGCCACAGCATAGCCCTTATTTGGCCACTGCTTGCCCTCTGCTTGGCTGTTGCATGCCCCCTGTGTGCCCACTGCTTGCCCACTGTGTGCCCCTTTTGTGCCCACTCCTTGGCCACAGTGTAGCCCTTATTTGGCCACTGCTTGCCCTGTATATGCCCACTGCTTGCCCTCTGCTTGGCTGTTACATGCCCCTTTTGTGCCCACTGCATGGCCACTGCTTGCCCACTGTGTGCCCCTTTTGTGCCCACTCCTTGGCCACGGCATAGCCCTTATTTGGCCACTGCTTGCCCACTGCTTGGCTGTTGCATGCCCCCTGTGTGCCCAGTGCTTGTCCACTCCTTGGCCATGATGTAGCCCTCATTTGCCCACTGCTTGCCCACTGTTTGCCCTCTCCTTGACTGTTACATGCCCCTTTTGTGCCCACCACTTGGCTGTTGCATGCCCCCTGTGTGCCTACCACTCGCCCGCTCCTTGGCCATGACATAGCCCTTATTTGGCCACCACTTGCCCACCCCGTGCCCCCCCCGTTGCCCGCCGCAGGGTGCAGCTGGCCGTGAACCGCCGGACGGAGGAGGCGGTGGCGGTGAAGATCGTGGACATGAGGCGGGCAGCCGAGTGCCCGGAGAACATCAAGAAGGAGATCTGCATCAACAAGATGCTCAACCACGAGAACGTCGTCAGGTTCTACGGGCACCGGCGGGAGGGGACCACCCAGTACCTCTTCCTGGAGTACTGCCGGGGGGGCGAGCTCTTCGACCGCATCGGTGCGCCCCTAAACCCCCCCCCCAGATCCCTCCCTTCTTCTCTAAAAAATGCTGAGTTAAAAAAATATGGCCCCCTCGGTGATGGATGGTTCCTCGTCTTCTTCTTCTCCTTCCAGAGCCCGACATCGGGATGCCGGAGCCGGAGGCGCAGCGGTTCTTCCAGCAGCTCATCGCGGGGGTGGTGAGGGACGGGACGGGGATGGGACGGGGGGTAACAGGGTCCCCCCGTGGCACTGACCCCCCCTCTGCCTCCCCAGGTCTATCTGCACAGCATGGGCATCACCCACCGCGACCTCAAGCCCGAGAACCTGCTGCTGGACGACAGAGGTGGGAGCACCTTCTCCTTTGCCCAAATTTCCCATTTTCATTTTCATTTAATTTTAATTTTGATTTTAATTTAATTTTAATTTAAATTTAACCTTAATTTAATTTTAACTTTAATTTAATTTCAATTTTAATTTAATTTAATTTTCATTTTAATTTTCCATTTTTACTTTCCATTTTAAATTCTAATTTTAATATTACTTTCTGTTTTCATTTTGAATTTTTTAAACTAAATTTTTATTGGTCTTTTAATTGCAATGATTTCCATTTCAATTTTTTATTTTAATTTCAATCCTACTTTTAAATTTTATTTTATTTTGAATTTTTATTTCCATTTTAGTTTTCATTTTTAATGAAATCTGAATTTTTATGTCCATTTATATTTTCATTTTTAATCTTTGAATCTGAATTTTTATTTGCATTTTTCTTTGAATTTGAATTTTTATTTACATTTTTATATTAAACCTGAATTTTTATTTCCATTTTAATTTCTCATTTTAATTATTTAATCTGCATTTTTATTTGTATTTGAATCTTTATTGTTAGTCTTAATTAAATCTGAATTGTTATTCTCATTTTAATTTTAAATCTGAATTTTAATTTCCATTTTAATTTTTAAATCTGAATTCTTATTTGCATTTTTATTTTAATTTTTATTTTAATTTTTATTTTTGATTCTCTCAATTTTAAGTTTTTATTTGTCATTTCAATCTGAATTTTTCTGTCATTTTGAATTTCTGTTCAATTTTAATTTTTTATTTGTAATTTCAATCTGAATTTTTCTTTCTATTTTACATTTCAATCTGAATTTTTCTTTTTCCTTTTGAATTTCTGTTCAGTTTTAAATTTTTATTTTAAATTTCAATCTGAATTTTTCTTTTTCATTTTGAATTTTGGCTCTATTTTAAATTTTTATTTTGAATTTTTATTTTAAATTTCTATCTGAACTTTTAATTCTATTTTTGTTTTTAATTTCACTCTGAATTTTTATTTCTATTTTAAATTTCTATCTGAACTTTTATTTCTATTTCTATTTTAAATTTCAATCTGAATTTTTAGTTCTATTTCTATTTTAAATTTCAATCTGAACTTTTAATTGTATTTTTGTTTTTAATTTCATTCTGAATTTTAATTTCTACTTTAAATTTCAATCTGAACTTTTAATTCTATTTCTGTTTTGAATTTCAATCTGAATTTTAATTTCTATTTTAAATTTCAATCTGAATTTTTAGTTCTATTTCTATTTTAAATTTCAATCTGAACTTTTAATTCTATTTTTGTTTTTAATTTCACTCTGAATTTTTATTTCTATTTTAAATTTCTATCTGAACTTTTATTTCTATTTCTATTTTAAATTTCAATCTGAATTTTTAGTTCTATTTCTATTTTAAATTTCAATCTGAACTTTTAATTGTATTTTTGTTTTTAATTTCATTCTGAATTTTAATTTCTACTTTAAATTTCAATCTGAACTTTTAATTCTATTTCTGTTTTGAATTTCAATCTGAATTTTAATTTCTATTTTAAATTTCAATCTGAATTTTTAGTTCTATTTCTATTTTAAATTTCAATCTGAACTTTTAATTCTATTTTTGTTTTTAATTTCACTCTGAATTTTTATTTCTATTTTAAATTTCTATCTGAACTTTTATTTCTATTTCTATTTTAAATTTCAATCTGAATTTTTAGTTCTATTTCTATTTTAAATTTCAATCTGAATTTTAATTCTATTTCTATTTTCAATTCCACTCTGAATTTTTCTTTCTATTTTAAATTTCAATCTGAATTTTTATTTCTATTTTTATTTTAAATTTCAATGTGAATTTTTCTTTTTCTTTCATTTTGAATTCAATTTTAAATTTTTATTTTCAATTTCCATCTGAATTTTAATTTCTACTTCTATTTTAAAATTTCAATCTGAACTTTTATTTCTATTTTTGTCTTTAATTCCACTCTGAATTTTTATTTCCGTTTTAAATTTCAATCTGAACTTTTATTTCTATTTTTGTCTTTAATTCCACTCTGAATTTTTATTTCCGTTTTAAATTTCAATCTGAACTTTTATTTCTATTTTTGTCTTTAATTCCACTCTGAATTTTTATTTCTGTTTTAAGTTTCAATCTGACCTTTCCCTCTGAATTTTCTCTTGCCTTTTCCTTCCCCTGTTGAATCTCTGCTCCGAGCTGGGGGCCGTGTCCCCGCTGACGCCGTCCGTGTGTGTGACCCCAGACAACCTGAAGATCTCGGACTTCGGGCTGGCCACCGTCTTCCGGCACAACGGGCGGGAGCGGCTGCTGAGCAGGACCTGCGGGACCCTGCCCTACGTGGCCCCCGAGCTGCTGCGACGCCCCGAGTTCCGCGCTGAGCCCGTCGACGTCTGGGCCTGCGGCGTGGTGCTCACCGCCATGCTGGCCGGGGGTGAGCCCCCGGGGGGGGACATGAGGGGCCTTTGGGGGTGGATGTGGGATGCATAGGGGGTGTACGTGTGGAATGGAGAGGGGGTGTATATGGAATGCATAGGGGGTGTACGTGTGGAATGGAGAGGGGTCTATGTATAGAATGCATAGGGGGTGTATATGGGATGCATAGAGGTGTATATGGGATGTAAGGGGGTGTACGTGTGGAATGGAGAGGGGTCTATGTATAGAATGCATAGGGGGTGTATATGGGATGCATAGGGGGTGTGCATATGGGATGCATAGGGGTGTATATGGGATGTATAGGGGTGTACGTATGGAATTCAGAGGGGTGTATGCATGGAATACATAGGGGTGTACATATGGGATGCATAGGGGGTGTATATGGGATGCATAGGGGGTGTAATTATGGAATGCATGGGAGGTGTATATGGGATGCATGGGGGTGTACGTATGGAATGCAGAGGGGTGTATGTATGGAATGCATAGGGGGTGTACGTATGGAATACATAGGGGTGTATGCATGGAATGTATAGGGGCTGTATGTATGGGATGCATAGGGGTGTACGTATGGAATGCATAGGGGTTGTATGGATGGAATGCATGGGGGGTGTGCATATGGAATGCTTAGGGGGTGTATATGGGATGGAGAGAGGTGTACGTATGGAATGGAGAGGGGGTGTACGTATGAAATGCATGGGGGTGTACATATGGAATAGAGAAGGGTGTACGTATGGAATGCATAGGCGGTGTATATGGAACGCATAGGGGGTGTATGGATGGAATGCATGGGGGGTGTGCATATGGGATGGAGAGGGGGGTCCGTGTGGAATGATAGGGGGTGTATATGGAATGGAGAGAGGTGTATGTGTGGAATGGAGAGGGGGTGTACGTATGGAATGCAGAGGGGTGTACGCATGGAATACATAGGGGTTGTATGTATGGAATACATAGGGGGTGTACATATGGAATTCACAGGGGGGGTGTATGTATGGAATGGAAAAGGGTTGTGTGTATGGAACATATAGGGGGTGTGTATGGAATGCATAGGGAGTGTGTATGGGATGCATAGGGGGTGTGTGTGGAATGGAGAGGGGTGTATGTATGGAATGGAGAGGGGTGTACATATGGAATGTATATGGGGTGTATATGGGATGCATAGGGGTGTATGTATGGAACGGAGAGGGGTGTACGTATGGAATGCATAGGGGGTGTATGCATGGAATGCATAGGGGGTGTGCGTATGGAATGCATAGGGGGTGTACCTATGGAATGCATAGGGAAGAGAGGTGGTGAACGCAGAGGGGGGAGGCATGTGAGGTGATGGGGCTGAAGGGGCTGAAGTTGCCCCATCTTAGATAAAGTTATTCAAAGAGAAATCTCCCATATCAGGGTAAGGACACACAAGACTATCCTGCCTAAACAGGCCTGGCCCTTTTTTCCAGTCCCACTAATATGCTTTTCTAACACAGAAAGTGTGGTAGACCTCAACACAGTGGAAGGAGAATGGAAGAACACCACCATGAACACATTCAGTAAACTTTCAGCAGGAAGATAAGGTGATAAAATCTGGAAAGAGAAAACCATGGCGTAACTTCAGCTGAGAGAGAGGAAACACCCAGAGAAGCTGTCTACAAAACATACTCACAGGAATTAACAGACAGTCAGCAGGCGTCAAGCGGAGTCGTGTGTCCTCTGGGGGGGTCAGCGACTCCCCCGGCGGCTTCTCCAAGCACGTCCGCTCCGACATGGACTTCTCCCCAGTGAAGGGCGCGCTTGGGTGAGTCCCCGTGTCCCTGCCTGTCCCTGCCTGTGCCTCCCCATCCCTGCATGTCCCTCCTGTCCATCCCCGTCCCTGTGTGTCCCTCCCCATCCCTGCATGTTCCTCCCCATCCCTGTGTGTTCCTGCATGTCCCTCCTGTCCCTGCGTGTCCTTCTCCATCCCTGCGTGTCCTTCCTGTCCCTGCGTGTCCTTCCTGTCCCTGCGTGTCCCTCCCCGTCCCTGTGTGTCTCTCTCCATCCCTGCATGTCCCGCGTGTCCCTGCATGTCCCTCTCCATCCCTGCGTGTTCCTGCATGTCCCTCCTGTCCCTGCGTGTCCCTCCCCATCCCTGCGTGTCCCTGCGTGTCCCTCTCCATCCCTGCGTGTCCCTCTCATCCCTGCATGTTCCTCTCCATCTCTGCGTGTCTCTCCTGTCCCTGTGTGTCCCTCCCCGTCCCTGCATGTCCCTCTCCATCCCTTTGTGTCCCTCCTGTCCCTGTGTGTCCTTGTGTGTCCTTCCTGTCCCTGCATGTCCTTCTCCATCCCTGCGTGTCTCTCCCCATCCCTGCATGTCCCCCTCCATCCCTGCGTGTCCCTACGTCTCCATCCCTGTCCCTGCATGTCTCTCTCCATCCCTGCATGTCCCTGCGTGTCCCTCCCCATCCCTGTGTGTCCCTCCTGTCCCTGCATGTCCCTCTCCATCCCTGCATGTCCCTGCATGTCCCCCCCTGTCCCTGCGTGTCCCTCCCCATCCCTGTGTGTCCCTCCTGTCCCTGCATGTCCCTCTCCATCCCTGCATGTCCCTGCATGTCCACCCCTGTCCCTGCGTGTCCCTCTCCATCCCTGCATGTCCCTCCTGTCCCTGTGTGTCCCTGTGTGTCCCTCCCATCCCTGTGTGTCCCTCTCCATCCCTGCGTGTTCCTCCCTGTCCCTGTGTGTCCCTCCTGTTGCTGCGTGTCCCTGTGTGTCCCTCCCTGTCCCTGTGTGTCCCTCCTGTCCCTGTGTGTCCCTCCTGTTGCTGCGTGTCCCTGCGTGTCCCTCCCAATCCCTGTGTGTCCCTGCGTGTCCCTGCGTGTCCATCCCTGTCCTGCATGTCCCTCCTGTCCCTGCGTGTCCCTTCCCATCCCTGTGTGTCCCTGCATGTCCATCCCTGTCCCTGCGTGTCCCGCGTGTCCCTGCGTGTCCCTCTCCATCCCTGCATGTCCATCCCTGTCCCTGCGTGTCCCTCCCATCCCTGCGTGTCCCTGTTTGTCCATGTCCCTCCCGTCCCTGCAGGTCCCTCTCCCGTCCCTCCCCCCGCTGTGTTCCCCCCCTCTCTCCCCTATGCATTCCATACATCCCCTTCTGCACCGCACACACGGGTATCTCACATCCCCACACACCTTCTGTGGGCCCTTCCCTGTCCCGTACAGGCGCTGCATGCACCGCCCCCTATGCATTCCATAGGTACATCCCTGTACATTCCATACATACACCCCTATGCATTCCATAGGTACATCCCTGTGCATTCCATACATACATCCTTATGCATTCCATACGTACACCCCTCTGCTGTTCACGTACACTCCTTATGCATTCCATACATACACCCCTATGCCTTCCATACATACACCCCCTCTGCTGTTCATATACACTCCTTATGCATTCCATACCTACACCCTTATGTAGTCCATACATACACCCCTATGCATTCCATACGTACACCCCCTTTGCTGTTCACATATACTCCTTTTGCATTCCACACATACACCCCTATGCATTCTATACGTACATCCCTCTGTATTCCATATGTACACCCCTTCTGCTGTTCACATACACTCCTCATGCATTCCATACGTACACCCCTCTCCATTCCATATGTACACCCCTATGCATTCCATACGTACATCCCTCTGTATTCCATACATAACACCCCCTCTGCTGTTCACATACACTCCTCATGCATTCCATACGTACACCCCTATGCATTCCATACGTATACCCCTCTCCATTCCATACGTACACCCCCTCTGCTGTTCATGTACGCTCCTTGTGCATTCTATGCATTCCATACCTACATCCCTATGCATTCCATACGTATACCCCTCTCCATTCCATACGTACACCCCCTCTGCTGTTCATGTACGCTCCTTGTGCATTCCATATGTACACCCCTATGCATTCCATACTTACACCACCTCTGCTGTTCATATACACTCCTCATGCATTCCATACCTACACCCCTATACATTCCATACGTACACCCCCTCTGCTGTTCATATACACTCCTTAGGTATTCCATACATACACCCCTCTCCATTCCATACGTAACCCCCTCTGCTGTCCACATACATTCCATACACCCCACGGTGGCTTTGTTGCCCCTTCCTGGCGCCGCAGCCCGGGTGGGTGCAGCAGGAGCTTTGGGCAGGTTTGCCTTCTCTCCTCCTGCTCCCTCCTTGTAGTGGGTCCCCCCCTGGGCACCCGCACCCCTAAAAAACCCACCCTCCCTGTCCCCCCCATGCAGAGAGGAGAAGTCGGGCTACTCCACGTCGCAGCCGGTGGTATTTGTAACGTCGGGGTGGAATTTGGGAATTCTGGGGGGGGGCGTTGGGGTGTTGGCAGTGCCCGGGGTGGGATGGGGACGCTGCATGGCGTGTGTTTGCCATCAGGGGGTGCAACGCTGCAGCCTCTTGGTCCTCCTTACGGCCAGCTTCCACCAGCTTTGTGGAATTTGGGAGTTTTTAACTGTTTGGGGTTTTTTTTGGGGGGGAAACAGAGCCCCTGGCAGCGGCTGGTGAAGAGGATGACGCGCTTCTTCACCAAACTGGACGCCGAAGGCTCGTACCGCGCCCTGAGGGAGGTGTGTGAGAAGATGGGGTACGGCTGGAAGAAGAGCTGCACCAACCAGGTAAGGCGCATTCCATACGTACATCCCTCTGTATTCCATACATAACACCCCCTCTGCTGTTCACATACACTCCTTATGCATTCCATACCTACATCCCTATGCATTCCATACGTACACCCCTATGCATTCCATACGTATACCCCTCTCCATTCCATACGTACACCCCCTCTGCTGTTCATGTACGCTCCTTGTGCATTCCATATGTACACCCCTATGCATTCCATACATACATCCCTCTGTATTCCATACCTACACCCCCTCTGCTGTTCACATACACTCCTCATGCATTCCATACCTACACCCCTATACATTCCATACGTACACCCCCTCTGCTGTTCATATACACTCCTTAGGTATTCCATACATACACCCCTCTCCATTCCATACGTAACCCCCTCTGCTGTCCACATACATTCCATACACCCCACGGTGGCTTTGTTGCCCCTTCCTGGCGCCGCAGCCCGGGTGGGTGCAGCAGGAGCTTTGGGCAGGTTTGCCTTCTCTCCTCCTGCTCCCTCCTTGTAGTGGGTCCCCCCCTGGGCACCCGCACCCCTAAAAAACCCACCCTCCCTGTCCCCCCCATGCAGAGAGGAGAAGTCGGGCTACTCCACGTCGCAGCCGGAGCCCGGCACCGGGGGGACGCTGTGGGACACCGGGGCGGCCACCAGCATCGACCGGCTGGTGCAGGGCATCAGCTTCTCCCAGCCCGCCTGTCCTGAGCACATGCTGCTCAACAGCCAGCTCCTGGGCACCCCCGGCACCTCCCAGGTGCGGCGCTGGGGGGGCTGGGGGGGGGAGCTGGGGGGCTGAC